ATTGGCGTGACAACCATAATTCGAATCATTTGAAGCTTAGTTTTTTTTTTTATTTAAAGCAAACGGTAAATGAATACACGCGTATTTCCAGGCACAGTAGAACTTTAATTGACCACGTTTATTCTAATTTTGATTCCATTTGTTCAGTTACGGATACTGATTTGAAAATAACCGATCATGAGACTTTAGTGATTAATGTCTTAGACCATGTTAACGATAACGATAATTTTGTAAGATTGAAGTGCTGGAGGAAATATTCGAAGCAAGCTGTTTCGAATATTGTTGACAGGAGCGTGGATTTTCCATTCGCGGCCGATAACTTAGATGAATCTACAGCTGTTCTTAATAACGCTTTGAAAACCTGTACTAATCAACTAGTTGAGCAAAAGTTTGTTTCTTTGAAGAACTCGAACAGCTGGTACAATTTGGATCTTTAGCGTCTTAAACGGAAAAGGGACAAATGGTACACAAAGTTTTGTAGATCAAATAATGACAATCATTGGAATAGGTACACAATCGCGCGTAATAAGTATTCACAATCGATAAAGAAAACTCGTTATGAGTATGTTCACAAAGGAAGATTGATCAGCATCAAAACGACAGCATAGAGTTATGGAAAATTTTGAAATCTTTATAAAAGCCTAGTAATTGCAAACCGCGGTCCGTAACTTTTAATGGCACATAACAACAGTCAGAACAAGTAATTGCAGCTAAGTTTAATGATTATTTCGTAGATAGCGTTTCATTGATTAATCAATCTATTGAACTGGTCGATGAACCTGACGAAATAAAACAGCCAGTCAATAGTAGTTGTAGATTTGAAGTTTTCACCCAATTACATATGATGAACTTAGAGTTATTTGTTTTTCATTAGGAAAATCGGCCGGAGTAGATAATGTTAATGCTAGAGTTATTCAATATTGCTTTCATGTCATTGGCCACATCATGCTGGACCTTATTAATGAATCATTACAAACTGGACATGTGCCACAAATTTGGAAGGAATCCTTAGTGGTCCCTATTCAAAAAGTTGCTGGAACGATTAAAGCCGAAGAGTTTCGTCCCATCAACATGTTGCGCACATTAGAGAAAATTTTAGAACTTGTTGTTAAAGGCCAGCTGTTGGAGTATTTAAATAGTAATAGTTTGTTGATACCAGCACAATCAGGATATCGGGAAGGTCATTCTTGTGAAACCGCGTTGAATTTGGTATTAGCGAAGTGGAAAAGTAACTTGGAGTGTAAAGAGACCATTGTGGCTGGTTTTTTTTGGATCTTAAACGCGCTTTTGAAACAATTTCTAGGCCCTTATTGTTAAGATCAATCAAGCGCTTTGGAATTACGAGTACAGCATATAAATGGTTTGAAAGCTATTTGTCTGACAGAGCTCAACGGACTGTTTTTAATGATTCTGTTTTCAGTCCCGAGGGGAATAACCTTGGAGTGCCCCAGGGAAGTGTATTAGGGCCCCTGTTATTTATTATGTATATTAATGACTTGCGACGTGTTTTACGATTTTGCGACATTGTGTTATTCATTGCAGCTAAGGATTTAGATGATGCCGTTTTACACTTGAATGAAGATTTGCGTTCTCTAAGTAGATGGTTGAAGTATAATCAGTTAAAATTGAATACAAGTAAAACTAAATTTATGGTAATTTCGCGGAATCGAGTAAATGAGAACGTCTCTGTTGTAATTGATGATGAGACTATTGATCGCGTCCGGGAGATTAAATATCTTGGCGTGATTATTGATGACACACTTAAGTTCAACTCTCACATTGACAATGTCATCAAGAAAATTGCCAAGAAGTATGGAATTCTATGTCGCCTGAAAAACGATTTAACTATTGCCAGTAAAATACAGCTCAATCAATCAATCATCTCTCCTCATCTTGACTTTTGCCCTTCCATTTTATTTCTGGCCAATGACCACAAATACCGAGATTACAGCGCTTGCAGAATAAAATAATGCGTTTGATTTTGAGATGTAATAGATACACTTCCTCAACTTTGATGTTAGACGCCTTACAATGGTTGTCGGTGAAGCAAAGAATTGTATATTTGACTATGGTGTTCATTTTTAAAGTAGTTAACGGTTTGCTGCCTCGATATTTGTGTGGTCGAATTGAAAGAGGAAGTGACTTTCATAGATATAATACTAGAAACGCGGCTGAAATAAAAACACCACATTTTTGGACTTGTGCTTCACAAAATTCATTATATTATAAAGGAATAAATGTTTTCAATTCGATGCCTAGACATATCAAATGTTCATCAACACTTACTGAATTTAAATGACACTGCATTTCACACGTTAAAACTGTCTTTTGAACAGTTATCCAGTTATCCAGTGATTTTTTTTATGAATTGACAAATTATGTATCTTGATGACGTTATCTCTAACGAATTATTTTACACGACTTTTTTTTAATAATTATTGTAGCACTGAAAAAACTATTTCTGTTTGCCTCGATGGTGATGATGGATATTTATAATTTGATTTAATAGTAGATTAATTAAAAAAAAAGTAGTCTACAAAGGTTTGAGCCTCGCGCGCATATTATGGATATAGAGGACTGAATTTAACATTTGATAAAAAAAAAATACAACTTTGAAGCTTATTTGAAAGATACCTTGAGTTAGAAGTATATTTTCTGGCAAATGTTAGGGGTTCGTGAGCATTCCTGAAATTGCTGAAAATTATGATAGCATCAGATTGTGGGGTTGCTAGTGTAATAGGATGCTTTGTTGATTGTTCATTAACTCTTGATTGCTTGTAATACTTATGAATATTTTAGGTGGACAAAAAGGCGAACTAAGAGGTGGACGCCTGAGCTTTTCCACATTTATATCGCTGTGAAGCAACTGTAAACTCTAGAGGGAATTTATATCAGCAACTGTAACCAGTTCGATTTTGTTTGCTAACCTGCTTAAAATGTCATATTTAATTATCTTAAAGATAAATCGTCCAGCTCAAACCTTTGTAGGGGTAAGATGTGGGACCATCATCATCATATAAAATATCATTGAACCCGATATCCCCCGATATCCCGATACCCGATATCAACCCGATATCAATATCACCAATATTCATACAATGCGCTCTTATGGGCTGTGTACTTTTGTGTGTAGCTTTTAAACTAATGTATCGGAACAAACGCATTAGTTCTACCCAACGCGATGATATAGCGCTTTACTCTATGAGCTGAATTCTTGCATTTAATATGAATTTCTTGTAGATTGTCCATCATAGGTTGTGAACAATCCAAGAACCCCAGGTTGTCCACTAAAGGTCAGTATTGATTGAAAGTTTTTCGTGGATGAAATCAAGTAATTTACTTATTTTATATATCAGTCACACTTAATGTCGTAACCAATGAGTAAACAAGCAAATATTTGAAAATCAGTTTCAACATATAAAAACAATGACTATTTTGTTGGATGCCCTAGCCGCACATATCCTTGCTGTATTTTATACTACGGTGGAGAATCACATTTCCCAAAAACTAGCACTGCAATTCTACGAGCTCCGGGACTACCGTCATAAAGCTTCTCTTGATCCCGAGAAATCGTGAGCCGCTGTTGGATGAACTGTTTCGTTCACGAAAAGGCTATCCTTCTCGGTCGGGATTTCTTTCTTACATCATGCAGAGGTTCTTATTTATTCAAGCAACCAAAAAAGGAATTCTACGCTATCTTCGTTTCAAAAGTAGTTGATTCACTAGCCTTCTAGGAGTCGGATCATTTCGGTTTCTGGTCTATGACCTCTGGGAAAAGGAAATTTATTTATTTTATTTTGTGCGTTGGTCGATGCAGTCCGGGTTCCACAAGTGGGTGACCGTTGTCTTTAAGTCTTCCAATAGATACAAGAATTCAAGCAACAGCAGAAATTACTATCCTTATTTCCACAGTGCATTCCGTTTCTTCTTGGGTTGGGGTTATTTCTCAGTAAGGGTATTCAAGGTTGATCCATTCTTGTGACATCAAAGTGTTCTTGCTACAATCCCAAAATTTCAGACTAGTCCTCATGAGTTTTATACCTATGTAAGAAGATTGCCAACATGCCAAACGATATTTAGATTGGATACGCCATGCTTTTCATATTTTGTCCTGCTTTTATGGTGCAATTTACTTTGATGCATTTTCGAAAATTTCAAACCCAGTCTTTTTCGGCACATCATTCCAGATTGCAAGCAGCTCCGCGTTATTTTGTGTGAAATTGCAAAACGAATGTTGTGAGTTAATGTCTGTTTCCCAAGCAGGATTGAATATCTCGATACGTGAAATTGGTATGGATTATAATGGAGAGTTAAAATATAAAAAAAAAAAAATGAACAAATGTTCCCACGGTATCATCCTAATTCTAAATTACAAATTAAGCAAATACAGTACCAAAACGATAGCACAATATCAAAGCTATTCATTTGGTATCGAAAATATATTTTAGATATTTAAAAGTATTTGGTATGCAATTTTTTGGTATTTCACCTCTTTTGTCAGGCTAATTCACAACAAATTTCAGTATCAATAAGTTGTTTTCTCCTACTGGGGTAGAGTCCTAACTTTTTTCATCGGAACATTCCAATTTTAGGGAAGTTCATTAAACAATTTTCAACATCAAAATTGTGGCAGCCCGAGCAGGAGAAACTATCTTATTTTTTGTTATATATATTCTCTTGTGTGTTATTGTATAAAAACGTTTTGGTACTGTGGTATTTATTTGATATTTAACGAAATATTTCGATAACTGAATAATATCAAACATGGTTTTATACCACAAGCATACCAAAACAAGGTATCGGTTCTTCCTCGGGAGAGATCAAAAAGTAACAAAAAAGTAAACATTTAGTAATTCTCAAATAAACTTCAACTAACCAATGAAAATTCAGGTTATTTTTCATTGATTTCAACATCACTGTACATACCGACAAAAATAACATCCAATAAATTTTTACGATTTTAGTTTTAATTTTAATTTTATTTTTCCGTCTTTTTTCAGCATGGATACTTACACAAACGAACAGCAGACAATAACAAATGGCAGATGAGATGGTTCGTCCTGTACCAGGTGAGTTGTACCTCTCCAATTTACATGACAAACAAATTCACTGGAACCTTTGTTTACGAACTGGGTGTTCGTAAATCGAATCAGTGCGTAAAACAAAACTTCTTTTTTAGGATTTACTTCGTTAAAAAACCTCGTTATTTGGAATTCAATTCGTGAATAAAGTTTTTTGAAATACATAATATACCCACATGTCATATACCCCACAAAATTGTTTTTTTTTTTAATCAAAGTGACGTGTAGCAACCGGAAATCTATGTTTGCTGCCTTTTGGAAATCCAAGATGGCGGCTTCCAGTTACAGAGAAACTGGGAAATACTTTCGATACTCCACAATATGGGTATTTTTGCAATCAGAGTGACGTGTAGGGACCGGAAACTCATGCCTGACGCTATTTTGAAATCCAAGATGGCGGCTTCAGGTTAGAGAAAAACTGGGAAATGTTTTCAAATAACCCACAAAATGGATATTTTTGGAATCTGAGTGATGTGTTAGAACCGAAAGCCCATGTATGACGCCATTTTTAAATTCAAGATGGCGACTTCCGGTGACTGATGACTGGTTTGAAAATTGCATCATTTCTGAGGCCAGAGAGTATTTATCGCAAAAAGGTTGCCATTGATAGTTCTTTTCGTTTTTAAGTATCGCCTCCAGTCACCTCTGAATTGAACACCCGAATGTAGTGCTGTAAATTCTCAAAATCATTTGAACATTTTTGATGAAAATGAGAAAAGTAGCTATTCGCTATCAAACGGGACCTCCTCCGAATGGGTGATATCAGATGCTTAGTCATTTGACGAAGGCATGGATCATTCTCATTTGAGAAACGCTATACATCATTCAATTGAGTGTAACCTACACATAAACAGAGCTCTGGTCGACATTCCGGCGAAAAAACTAAGCCAACCCGACACCAACCTGACTTCTACCACACCGCACCCCGATGTTGACCCGACATTGACCCGACATTGAACCGACATAAACCCAAAATTGACCCGACAACAACACGACATTGGGTCGACATCGACCTTAAATTAGCCTTACATTGATCCGACATCGGGTCGACTTGTCTGTTCAGGACCATTTTGCTGGATTTCTTCCATACTCCACTGTCGTATATCAAATGATAGTGAGTGACTCAATTGACAGTGACAATGAGCTTCGAATGAGAAAGGGGCTCTTCAAATTATGGTCATATGAGAATTCGTTTACACAGAATTGATTGAATGGTTGTATTGGTTCATCTTCAATCGAATGATATGAAAATTTACAGCACTACAGACATCTTATTCAGCCCTTGGACCAGGAAATTATATCAGTTGTCAAAAAGTACTATGTCAAACAGACCTTCAGACTTATTGTGGATAAACTAGACTCTGACTAGACACTATCGGTACCGGCAGCGTGCAAGACTTTGACAATCCGACATTGTGTCCAGTTTTTATTCTGCAGTGAAGAAAAGCACATATTGGTTTTCAAAATGGCATCAGATATGGATTTCCAGTCCCTGCATGTCACTCTGATTCTAAAAATACCTATATAGGGGAGGTATTTGACATTATTTCCCAAATTTTATCTAACTGGAAGCCGCCATATTTGATTTCATAATGGGGTCAGACAAGGATTTCCACTCCCTTCACGTCTCCTCGATTACAAAAATATCCATATTGTGGGGTATTTGACAGTATTTTTCAGTTTTTAATGTATTCGCAAGCAACCAGCATGGATCTCAAAATGGCGTAAGACATGGATTTCCGGTTCCTACACGTCACCCTGATTCCAAAAATACACATATGGTGGCGTTATTAACGGTATTTCATAGTTTATTTTTCTCTAACTGGATTTCCTGTCCCTACACGTCACTTCGATTGCAAAAATACCCATATTGTGGAGTATTTGACAGACTTTCAAAGCTTTTCCCTAAGCGGAAGCCGCCATCTTAGATTTCAAAATGGCGTCAGACATCGATTTTCGGTTGTTACTCGTCATCCTGTTTCAAAAATTTTGCATATTGTGGGGTATTTCACAGTATTTCCCACACAGGAAAAAAAAAATAATTTTAATATCGCATCGAAGTGGATGCACTTCAATCGTGTCGAAAATATGGTGTAATATGACTTGCCAAAAAGGACAAAATGATCATTATTACAGTGCATGAACTGACATTACGCTGCATTTACTGCATTTGTTTATTTTTGTGGCCATAAATATTACATGAGATCAGGCATGGAAAATCATTTACATTCATTTCGTGCATTCATTTACATTCATTTGCCTCTAACTTTTTTCTTCAACAGCATTTCGCAAAATAATGTGTAGAGCTTTTGTAGGTTTTGTTATTAGCTACAACTTTTGTTAACAAGTCAAATCCGTATCTCTTATGCATGACGAAGCAGAGCGAACAGCCACTACTGTTTTTCAATGAATGTATTTTACATTCACTGAAAAACAGTAACAAGTTCTGCCCGATCTACATCATTTTGCGGAATGCTGTTGAAGAAAAAAGTTAAAGGCAAATGAATGTAAATGAATGTAAGAAATGAATGCAAATGATTTTCCATGCCTGCATGAGATTTTCGACATGATTGAAGTGCATCTTCTTGAATGTAATATTAAAATTAATATTTTTCTGTGCAGTTCCCCAGAATCGCAAAAAAAACCTCGTTATTTGGAATTTACTTTGTAAAAAGAGGGACGTAAACTGTATACTCCCATCCCCGGGTTTCCAGAACTACAAACATGTGTAGCTTTCCTTTGTATTTGTTTTCAACTGAATATGAAAAATATACAACCTTGTGCAATTAATTCCGTTTCAATTTCAAATATCAATTCCCCATCAATGTTTGATGCATGTATTTTTATGTTTGCAGAATCTGCTGTTCTACTATGAATCGGAACAATCAAGCCGTCCTTCCGGGTTGATCTTTTTGGAAGGATGCTACTGCGAACGGCTTGTTTCAGCCCCCTCGTCAATGTCCGGTCCGCCCACTGGCAGTGGTGGCGGACAGGGATCCAAAGCCATCAAGGAGGAAAAGTTGCAGGTGAGTTTAAAATGGATGTATGTAAACGCTCGTGTCGTTTAGATTGGTTTGGTTTGAGTGCATGATTGGAAAGGAGATTTCAGTAATTAAGTGCGCAAAAAAGAGCAATCCATTCGTTGTGCTTCCAACGCGTGATTGAAGCTTTACCGGATTGCAACAAGATGAAAGATCTACACATCAAAGTGGTATCACGTTCAATCCCATCAGAACGCAAAGAGAAGAGTTGCTGCTGACAGAGTGTACAGAACGGCAAACGTATGATTGGTGTAAAAGCGGTAAACGAACGACTGAAAACAGTTTGTTTGATGTATTTTTCTTTGATTGGCAAATTTCTGGTAAAGCTGATAATTTTTTTAATTTTATTTTATGTCACCTTCAATATGTTGTTATTTTTTGAAGCTGCAACAAAATTACAAAATATTTAAGGCGCGGAATTAAACAATTATATCAAGAGAATTCTGCCAATAATAATAAATAAATCATAAAAAAATCTCTCTATGCCTCTTTTGAAAAACCTTCTATTCAGCACCAGGTGCTTGAACAAGAACGACATACAAAATCGCATGCGAACTCAAAATAAAGCTCATTAGCAGACTAGTTCCAGGCCAAATAGGATACAAAATTCTGTAACTCTATAATTCTATAATCCTTCAATATTGAGTTGCAGAGAGAATTTTTCGAGGTGATTTCGAAACTTTTTGAAGTGATTATGTACTATCCGAAGTTATTCCGAGGCTTGATAAAATAAGTTCTTACGGAAAAGACTATAATATTTCAGGAAAGATTAAGAATTATTCAAAGTAAATCAAATTTGTATGATGTTTTTCAATATTATCCGAAAACTTTCCGGGATTTTTTGGAGTGATTAAATACTTTCTGAAGTGATTACAAAATTTTCTTATGTGTTTGTGTTCTTTCCGATATGATTCAGTACTTGTAGAAGTGATTAAAATCTTTCTGAAATTATTCAGTACTTTTCGGTATGATTTCAAATTCAGAACTTTTTAATTTGTTTTGTTACCCTTTATGAAATTACATTTCATTTTAACCTAGGTGCTAAAGCTACTACAGTAACTTATCAGCCGTAATTGTAATGATATATATTTATATGTCAAAGTGTGTTTACATTGTTTCTGTTTTGGTAAGGCGAAATTTTCACGTCAATTGACATCTTAAAACTAATAACTAAATTAATACTGAAGTAGAGTACCTGAATAGTACTGTACTTATTGATGAAAGCAAACTTTTTTTTTCTTGGATTTGTTTTCCGTCAATCTTGTTTTCCGTGCTGTGCACCAATACTACCAAGCCTGAGAGTTGAATAGATTTTTCTCCTTTAGTTTACTTAAATCTTTGGTTTTAATTAGTTAGGTAGGTTCCGATTCAACACATTGTAGTTTCATTTTTATACTGTGATCTTGACTTTTATACCTAGGGATGAGTACTTAAGGGGGTTGGCTTTTGATAAGTTCTTTAGTGGGAATGACACTGATGAAGACTGCACATTGTAGTCGAAATACGTATCTGTCATGGATACCAAAATTAATTAAGTGGAATTAAATGGAAGATAACCCTTTTTTTGCTGTTTGCATTCCGCTAACAACCTAATTTCATTACTTCACGAAAAAGGATCATTTTCTCCAACAATTTTCGAATGCACGATAATTTCGCGATGGGACGATACGAGTTATGATCTGACGCGGGTTTTCCAGGCTTTTTAATGGCTATAACTCTCACTTGCCTCCAATCATCCGGAACAATATTGAGCTCCAGGAACTGACAAAACAAGTTCAACAAACGCCTCTTAGCGACGTCTGGGAGGTTCTTCAACAAATTGAACTTGATTCTATCAGCCCCCGGAGCCGAATTGCCACACGAAAGGAGCGCGAGTGAGAGTTCCAGCATTGAAAAAGGCTAGCTGATCTCGTCTCCTGAATTCGTCGTTTCGCGAGGAATCATATGTGCCGGCACGGAATCAGGGCATACTTTTTGCGTGAACTTGAGAATCCAACGATCTGAGTACTCCTCGCTCTCGTTGTTCGAAGACCGGTTACGCATCCTTCGCGCCGCGTTCCAAAGCGTATTCATCGACGCTTCGCGCGATAATCCGTCCACGAATTGCCGCCAGTATACGCGTTTCTTAGCTTTGATGAGGCTCTTGAGTTCGTGTTCAAGAGCCGAGTACGCTTCGAAATGCAAGGGTGTTCCACGTTTCCGGAAACGCTTAAACGCGTCGAACTTTTTTCGATAAACCTCGGCTGGTCCCACTAAGGGGAAGGAGGTTTCCTACGGAAAGACGTTCCAGGAACCGGCCGAGTTTGAGCTCGAAGCGCGCTGTCCAAGATCAGATTGGAGAGGAAGTTATATTCCTCCAACGGTGGAAGCCCTTCTACCTACGACACGGCTTCCTCTATCGCGGTCTTGAACGTTGTCGAATCGATATTACGGGTGAGGTCGTACGCGACGTTAACGGATTCCGACGGATTGAACCCACTGGCAATCGAAATTTTGATCGACATGTGATCACTACCGTGGGGATCCTAGATCACATTCCACGTGCAATCTAACGATAATGAGTTAGAGCATAGTGTGAGGTCTAATTTACTTCCATTTGAGGATGGACCAGCCAAACGTGTTACTTCTCCATTGTTAAGAATTGCCATATTGAAGTTGTCACAGAGGTCATATATCATAGTAGAACGGTTGTCATCATACAGTTCCCCCCAGCCTGTACCATGGGAGTTAAAATCTCCCATAATCAACCGTGGAGCAGGAAGTACTGAACATATATCTGAAAGTTGTTTTCGATTAACAACGGTTCTAGGAGGAATATAAACAGAAGCAATACAAAGGCTCTTACCTTTAAAAATAGCCTGACATGCGATAACTTCAATACCTGGAAATTGTGGAAGATTCACTCTATAGAAGGAATGGCACTTTTTGATCCCCAAAAGTACCCCTCCTCCACGCGAACCCTCACGATCCAGTCGAATAATGTTGAAATCATAAAAAGGAAGATCAATATCTGAAGAGAGCCAAGTTTCACAAAGAGCAAATGCGTCACAATCATTATTGTGAACTAAAAACTTAAAAGAGTCTATTTTAGGAATAAGACTTCGACAATTCCACTGTAGAACAGTGATCAAATTTCCGACCTCGTTTGGAAAATTATCCGTCGAAGGAAATGATTGCTGCAAGGAGGGGGCACTTCAATGTCAATTGCTTCAAGAGGGTCTTCACAGTAGGAAGGATTGCCAGAACAATGCTTTTGAGAGGATCAGAAATATTCAGGTGCTTGAGGATATCGTCCACAATTTTATCAAATGAGAACAACCCAGATGAAAAAGAGGCTTCTGTTCTTAAAAATGGGGTTTTGGATGTCCCCGGGAGAGGTGGAAAATCCTGGGTATAGACAGTTCTTCTGAATCCAGGAGGAGTAGAAACTTCCTCTTTTCCACCACTCCTTGATTTGGGCTAGCTGATTTGGTGTTCTTCATTCTCAACTTTTCGCGAACGGATGCTGAAAAACGGAAAGAAGTTCCCTCCTCAGCCAAGTCAGAGTCAGTCTCGTCATCTGACAAAAGAGAAAAGGGATTTTTGTCGTTGGTCGATGGCGTGGCCGTCTTAAGCATTTCTGCAAAAGACTGCCGGGCACGTTCCTTAAGTGAGCGTTGTAATTTCTCCCCGCGTTGTTTGTACACCGGGCATGATGAGAGACCATGAGGAGTTCCCTTACAGTACACGCATTTTGGTGCGGTAGCTGCACAGGTGTCATCCCCATGCTTCTCCCCGCATTTGGAACAGCGTACCTTGCTGCCACAGTGGGAGGCCGTATGTCCCAACTGCTTACAGTTTTGGCAGTTCATGACAAGGGGAACGAACAAACGCACAGGTCGTCGAAGTTTTCCCCGCTCGATGTAGTGAGGAAGGTCTGAACCAGAAAAGGTCACACGGAACGAGTCTGTGGGGGTAAAACTCTTTTTACCCTCGCTGACAGATACTGAGCCCAGTTTTTGAACATCCAGTATCTTCACCGGGGGAAGCAAAGGGTTCTTGAAACGGCCAACCGCCTGCTTCTCCAAGATCTCGCTTTGGTGACCACACCTTCGATCTCCACATCACGAGCTGAGATGTAAACTCTGTACTCGAGCGTGAAGGGCTGGGAGGCAGCAATCTCGTTAGCCTGCTTCAGGTTAGAGACGGAGACACGAAGTTTATTGTGCCTAACCTTCGTGATTTCAGTCACGGCCGAGTATCGCTTCGTCAGATCATTAGTAATTTGCATTACATTCAAAGGTTTGTTTCTGGACTGAAAGTAGACAACCCATGGGCCAGTCGAGTTATCTAGATAGGCTCGTGATCGGGGGTTTATCTGAGCCTGTCCTTTGCCAGACTGAGACGATGAACCAGGGATGACATCATCTGTCTTCAGAGATGACATACGTTTTCGACCCTTCTTGCCATCGCGTGGCAAAGTGGTGTCATCTTCCGACAAAACGTCCATTTCGTCTTGCGACAAAATGTCCATTTTGCCGTACTAGTGGGAGCGAAAAACGCTCTACCACTGAAACGATAATCACTCGGACACTATACACAAAAAAAAACTACACAACACAACACAAACTTAAAATTTAACTGATGGGCGAAAGAGAGAAACAAGAACAAAAACTTATCTGATAATCCTACACGCAGGCAAAAGAACGTAAGAATTCCATTAAAAACACTTATGAATTTTAGTCATAAGAAATGAGTGTGAATTTTATTGATTTGCCTTATGAAAAATAATGTTGACAAAAAAATTATAAATCGGAGCAGACTGGAACCGGAAAATGAACGTTGAGGTTAAGGGACCCGTGTGTTGACCATGCGTCTTTCAACGCATGGGAAAATTAAATTGTTAAAGGCGTATAGGTAGCTCTCATGTTACCCGAAAATCATTCATAAGACATGCTTATGAAATTCATATACGTTGTTCATAAGTCGAGCCTTATGAAATTCTT